CCAAGACCATAAACGCGCACAGGACCATGCGTGTCTTAGCGTAGTCTGTGGACCCAATAAATACACCGCTGCAGTAAACAGTCAGCGTCTCCCCTCTCCTCTCGAAGCGTGACTAAATTAAAGCTTGGGTACCTAAATTTTCCATTGCATCAAAAGTTCGTGTTTGAGCCCAAAAGTAAAATGTTGTGAACAAATCAAACAGATTTAGTGACAGGCAATGGCTGACATTATGCATTTCAGACTTTTTTTGACCAATTCTCATCCCTGTAACAAACAATAGTGTTGTCTGTGTCCACCTCCCTCACTCTGAGACATGTTTATTACTCTCTTTAATGTAGACTATTGCGTTTTATTTTATTGTTGAAACTACAGACATCCTGATCCTCTACAGTATTTGCTTCCACATACTGTATAAGCCAGGGGTCGGACACCTGCGGCTCCTCCAGTGGCTCCTGGAGCCTTTTAAAAAATGTCTGAAAATGGAGTGGGAGGGCTATATTTTATTTCTAGTTTGAATGTGGTTTCTGTAGGAGGAGAAACATTCTTGATGTTTTTAAATGCTGTGCATAAGTATTATTCAATTTCAAAATTTCTGTCTACATAGTGCGTCATATCCGGTGACGCCGCCCCGTGCCAGGCGGCGGCTGTGGTAAACAAACCGGCGTGTGTGCATCATAGACTGTGTGTGCGCACGGATCCCAAAGATAAAGAGAGAAAGAGTCGATAAGACTGGACTAAGAATCAGAATGAACTTTTGCTTTCAGTCAATAAGGAAAGACTGCCTCATGTTTGTAACGAGAAGTTTTGTTGCAACACGAGGAACAATGAAGCTTTAAACACTGTTCACTGAAGGATTCATTCATCGCAAATTCAAAGCACCTATTTTCAGACTTCAAAAACCTTCGCAAAGACGGTGAAAGAAAAGGCCATTAAGGACATTCAGCTCCAGCAAACTTCAGCCTGTGATGTGACGGATATGAACAGGCTGTGATGCAGGTGAACTCTGAGTCAAAATGCAGATTTATTTACTGTATTTGTACAATTGCATGAAGGCAAAAAAAATGGAAGTTAAAGTTAAAGCAGAGTTGTCACATGGTGCGTCATTCTCTCCAGGACACACTGCAGTGAAAATACACATTTGATAATCATGAATGCTTATATTGTGTATTTGTAGCTAATATAGCTAATACAGCTGCAGCCTGTGTTACCTTCATAAAAGCCTTTTACAAGGCTTATACACATGTTGTTTTTAGTTTTTTTGTCAAATATGGCTCTTTGAACCTTTTGAGTTGCCAACCCCTGGTATAAACAAACTTTTAAACAAAACTTGCCTGGGCCGCCAAGAAGGCAAAAATGCCCGGGCCGTTTTTTTGTCCCAGTCCAGCCCTGTCTGCAGCGTGTGGTAAAGTGGTTTTCTCCTGAAGTCGACTAGCATCTTCTTGGTCTTACCGGTGTTCAAGTAGGGCTGGTCAATGTGGCTGAAAACTATATCACAATATAAGTAAGTCGGGTGATTATAATGTTTTTATTTTTTTTACCTGGATAAATACGCTTGCCGTGTCGGCTAACACACGGCAGCAGCCTTGTTTACAGTCACGGGGGAATGAGGCTAGAGGAATATGTCTCCCCCATAGTTAGTCCTGGTGTAATCCTGGTTTAGTCCTGGTTCATCATCTCCTGTTTTGTGTCCACATGACGGCTCCATGCGGCCGCTCTCTGATATGCCTCACACTTACATGCATAACCATTGATACGGCATTGAAAAACAATCTTAGATCCATGGACGCTACGCATGGTGCAGTTGTTTTTGTATTTCCCAGAATGTTTTGCGGTTCATGCTTGGGTGTGATAGGTTGAGAAGCCTATGCCTACATCCCCCAGAATGCCGCGCGGTTCTGACTCGGCTTTACTTCCTGTTTTTTCTTACGAAGTGAAGTTAAACTATTGTACATTCTATCGACCCCGTTTTCTATTGATATTAAACACGTGTCAATTGCGATATATATCTTTATCGTTTTATTGCCCAGCCCTATGTTCAAGCACAAGTGGTTGCGCTCACACCAGTCGACAAAGTCTGTGATAACCGACCGATATTCCAGTTCGTTCACCTCAGACACACAGCCCACGATGGCGGAGTCGTCGAAAAACTTCTGCGGGGGACATCTGTGTTTGCCATATGTGAAGTCTCAAGTGTAGATGGTGAAAAGAAACGGTGAGAGGACAGTGCCCTGAGGGGCCCCAGTACTGCAGACTACCACCTCAGACTCACAGCTGCGCAGCCACACGTA